TCATGCTCATTTATGCGACCCTTATCGGCGTTCGCAGGGCAACGAGATGAAGGTTGAAAATCCGAAAAGCACGAGAATCTTAAATGATCCGCCACTCGTCCCGTTTCCCACTTTTGTCAGGCTATCTATGAGACAGATTCCGCAAATGGAGATTCGCTCATTCTGTCACGGGCTAAAGGGATAACGTGAGGGGTACGTAAAGTAGTTTGAGATTGTTCGCCGGATAAGAAGACCACCCCTCGTTGTCGGACTTACAACTGAACACATAGTTAACACGCTAAGCAGAATTTCACGGTATTATACCTATTTAAGTGTCGTGATATCCTTGTCAGAGAGACGTCAGAAAGGGTGGCGATGTCAGAAAAAGAGAATGAAGTGTATTTGAAATTATACGAAGAAAGTTTGTGCGCAGACAAGAAGAGATATACGACTAGAAGACTATGTATATTTGACCGTTTGTTTTTTAACTTCTTTTTTTAACGTTTTTTATTAAGAGAGACGCGAGATAGCATCGAATATATAAAAATAACGACAGCCGTCCGTCATGTTCATTTTATCGTCGAGCGTTATTGATTCTTCTTTTCTACAACTTTTACATCTCGAATTTTTCGACTGAAGAAAATAATAATGATGCAACATCACAATTTAATGGTATTTTTGTGATGTAACTTGATCTTAGTTTGAATAAAAATGTTTGCCGCGAAAATCACGAGTAATGAAATGCGAAAACTGCAAAAGGATATTGTTCTTTTTTCTTTCACCGGCTTTAAACCTACCGTACGCGCCGATTCGGAAAATGATATCGACAGAATCAAGTAGACGGTTAAGCCGATATTGAGGAGAATTTATCGTGAAGGACCTCGATTGAGAGCCGGGACAAGTGTGATACAAGAATTGCGTTTATGTTCGTCGAATTCGTGAATCCTCAAATCAAATGTCCGGGATTTGCGGATGATATTTGATAATCTCTCTAGAAAGAAAATCCGAAATTTCTTAAAAATTGTAATTTCTGAAACTTAAATTGAATATATTTAAAACAAACTAGAAAAAAAAAGATTGAAAAACATGATTTTTACATGAAGATAGCGTTTCAAATTATCTATTTCTCTTCCGAAAAATTAAAAAAAAAATGGATATTTTAATCATTTTTAGATACACCCACCCCTTCAACTTTTCGATTAATCTTGCATCACTTGTTGCGTCTTCCTTGTTTGAAGCGAACAATTATCCCGCGAGGAAATCGAAAGAGGGGACGATAATGATAAGATTTACGAGGGTAGTAAACGTCGTTGTCCTGAGTAGACGTATGGCGCAGTTGTCAGGACATCCCTAATAAGACGAGTGTATCCGTTATATACGTCGCTCCCGGACTATATGCAAGCTTTTACCGCGGCGATTCCGCTGTGAATACAAGCAATGAATGCAGCCGTGATAACCGCACCGTCGTCATCCTTATCTGTACGCCGTAATCCTGCCTGTGTCACTGTATAGCTCGCAGGACGACGCGATAAAGTGTGCTGCATTGCAGTCGCACCCCAGCAATGCCGCCGCGCATCATTGTGCTACTTTATCCTGATGTTAAACCTGCTGCCCACTTTTCTTTCAGTTTAGCCATTTTCTATTTCTCTTTTTACTTACGCTTGTTTTTATTTCTTTCCTTTTTGCGCAATAATTTGAAAAAACAAAATATTTTCTGAGAGAGAGGATTAAATGTAGAAAAATTATATATAAATTTTAGAATAATATTTTTCAGACTAATAAATATTGTGTGGATGAAAGCTCTAACTCAATTCTGGTAACATAAAATTTGAAATTTCCTGTGGAAAACGCGAGTATATTTAATATATTTTTATATTTATATATATTTAATATATCGCTTTATTTCTAAAGAAATAATTTATCTAAAAATTTAATGAAAGATTATATAATAAAAATTTTACTTTTTTCTCTTTTTTTTTGTTCTCTCTTTCTAGAATCCTTTCAGTATAGGATATCAAATATTGTGGTAATAAAAGTTTCAATTTCAATTCAACGAAATTTAACAATATTTATTTAATCTCTTGACATTTAATTGGCAAAAAACTGCGGTTATATTTGAATTTAACGAGTATTTCCTCGAGAATTTTTTCGATTTAGGATATCGAATATCGTGTGGCAATGAGAGAGTGCTGAAATTGAATTTTGATAGCGTAAAGTCAATCTGGATCTCAGCTTGTGGAAGATAAAGTTTTGATTCATGCATGATGAATGCACAATCTGTTTTCCCCTAGCTAGCGGCATTTGCCAGCCGGGGGGTTTGTAAGGATTAAAGGAAGGGTTCCTAAGAAGGCGGATGCAATATCGAGTTTGTAAAATAAAGCGATCTAACGGGAACGCAGGTACTTCTCGTTTACCATCCAACGATATCAAACTACGGAGCACCGCTTTATGAATATGTAAAGTCCGTTAGAGGCATCCCGGCAAATTGTTTGCGGATCGCATCAAATATTGACAGGGCGCTTGTAAATTTATTCACGGCCGAAATAATGTATCGCGGCCGCGAGATGAGTTGAAGTCGCGATATTTTCTCTTCTATGGGAAATGAGATTCTAACTCTCTCTCTCTCTCTTTTTCTCTTGCAAAAAACAATGCTGTACAATTGCGAAATCCTTTGGTACACTCTGAATTCCGAATTTCCGGAAATTTTTGATATCGGAAAATGGTTTTTTTCTTTATAGATTTTCTATATCGGATTCCAATATTTACATTCTCGAATATTGTACATTCGAGATTCTCGTATCTACTTTTCAAATTAAAGTTGCGAATTATCAAGTTTTCTTTCGCACTTTTAAAGAAATTCTTGAAGATCTGTGCACAAAAATTATACATGTATAATCTTTTATAATTTTAAATATAATATGTATGTTTTATTATATAAACAAGATTTCTTGTTCTTATAATTTTACAAAAAATAATAATTTTTATAAAACAATTATTTATAATTATATATATATATATTATTTCTGATGCTTTGATTTTTTCTTGCAGTAATAAATAATCGCGCAAAATATGTAGTTTGATAAAGACCGTACTACTATATTATTACTCGAGTGTCGCTATGCGGATGACAACAATGCCGTGGAATGTAAACAATAGCACGTTATATAGACTGCCAAGGCTGAACACTGTGTTATTATTAATTCTCGTTGCCTTCCCCCAAAATACTTTATAAAATATATCTATATAAAATATTATATACTCTCTTTTAAAATTATAAATTAATTATTTATTGAACGATTGATTTATCACAGGGCCTTTCGTTACTTTAATTACTCGATCCTGCGATCGTGTTCTACTGCATATTTCAATCCAAATAGCAAATTATTTCAAAAAGACATTTCTTTTTTTAGATATTTGCAATTTTTTAATTGCAGTTTATATTAAATAATATATGATTAAGAAAATAAATGGTGCGCACTTTGTAATATTCTAGTCAAATAAAAAGGTTATTCCAATGCATTAAGAAATTGAAAAAGAATGACGGAAAGAAAGTTTTAGCGCTTTCGTTATTACAGGATGTACGCACAATTACCAATAGAATTCTCCCGCGAGTTTCTAATCGTATGAAACAGGTTTTAGCGAACAACATGTGTCCGGGGATTTTCGGGCAATCGGCGGAGTCGCCAATTAGGAAGCACATGAGGAAGCTACAAGGACGATAATGAAAATAATAATTAGCCTGCGCGGTTGCGGTCCATTAATTGATTTTGCCGCCGAATCGTCATCGTTCTGGACGGTCACTTAATTAACATGACCGGGCAATCAAGCGACCGTTTACTCCCCTAATCGCATTGGTGCCATTTATTTTCCGCGACGCGTTTATTCTTGCAGAAGCAAATGCCAAATTAATCTGGAGCGCAAAATTAATTTTTTACACATTATTAGAAAAACTTTTTCTGCGTTATTAATTTAAATTATATATTTTTTTAAAGAATTCTAAAAAAAAATTAATATTAATATTAATATAATTGAAATAAAGTTTAGTATAACTTAATCTTTACCAGCTTAATTTAATGAATAAAAAAGCTTTCTAAGTATTTTATCTTTAATATAAAAAACTATTTGATTCTTACTAATTGTGATAAATTCAGAAAAATAACGAATAACCGCAATTCTGCGAAAAATCTGGCAGGGATTAGCTGTAAACTGATTGATGAGACTCGTCGTACAGTCGTCGCATTTCACGAGGGTTCAGGGAAGGGTTGAAGGCTGCAGAAGGCAACAGGATGATCGTGATGCGGGCTGTTATCGCGAGGATGGTGACGCGTGATTTGTTGAATTATAGCCGGTACCGGGTCTGGCCGCAGCGATCACCCTCGCGTGTTCACCCTTCCGGCATTACCATGTTAAATCAGATTGACGCACCCCTTTCGTGTGTGCGAGCCACCGCCGCTTGTTTTAATTACCCCAAGAGCGATAGGCGACACGTTGCCCGACACGCATACTTGTTCGTAACTTGAACATAACTCAAATGTAAGTTTCGAAAGGATCCTTTTTCTTATGTAATTATCACATCACAACAATAACAAATTAAATATATGTATCTAATTTTTATTTATTTTTGAATAGCATTCTCTCTCTTTCTGTTATCTAATTTATATCATGTTGCTTCGATTAATTGGTTTATTAATAATTTTATTCTACATATATTTGCTTATTGTTGAAGAAGTGGAATGAGATTCTAATCTTGTGCCATGCAAATTTTTTAGACACATTCTCTCTTAACTACTAACGATAAGCGTGATCCTTAATAATTCATTATCTTAAAGAATGTAACCATTCAATAACTAGTCGGTGCAGTTTTTGTCTTCTCAGGACACACATACCGTAATTCTTTATCGAACTGTCAAAACTTCCTTAGAAGCTCAGGAGACTGAAAAATGACCCTTTAAGGATGCGCGATGCGAACTATCAAATGTCAAAAGTTTCGATCGATCACAGGATAATTTTATTGATTACAGCCGGCGCGAGGGACGGCGGCGGCAGAAGATATCCCGTGATTGTGTTCGTGCATGGCGAGAGCTACGAATGGAGCAGCGGAAATCCTTACGACGGCAGCGTCCTGGCGAGCTATGGAGGCGTCGTCGTCGTCACCATCAACTACAGACTCGGCATCCTGGGTAAGTCATGACAGATTTCTTTCGTTCCCGATTCGCGGTCGACGCCTAGATCTTCCTCCCAGTTCCGGAATCCCGGATTTCCGAGAGAAACCTTCTGTTTTTTTAAATCTATAAGTCCAGGAAAATCCTCGTATTTCGAAAAGCTTTGGAGTACATTTTTGGAGTTGAAAACCGTCTTCTATTTTTAAATTTTTGACAACACTCTGTCTCTTTTAATTCCTAAAAAATTATGCAAATTTTTTGGTATTAATTTGAGAGATTCTTTGATTACTACATTTCTTGTTTTCTCTTTACAGAATTTCAAATTCCATATATTTCAATTATTTCAATTATTTTACTCCCGAATACAGATACAAAAAAAACATGGAGAAAAGAGGAGTAAAAGAGATTCTCGAAATTATAATTCTTTTAAAAAATTTGCTCCGAATTTCCAATTTATTTGCAGGTTTCCAATCTTTTATTTTTTAATTTCTCTACCTCTCTTCTACGTTAAATACATCAATGATTAACCTCGTTTGTCAAGTCAGATATAACTTTCGCGAACAGTTCGAAACTCAGATAAATCACATATGTTAGTTGCTCGCTTAATGGTGTGAAACACTGGCTCCCAGCAGTTGAGGTCTGAAACGAGCCAGTCAACCGTAGCTCATTAGCTATTTAGGGCCGGTTGCACTGACGTCACTTACCCCCAAGTATGTTTACCCAATTTTCCTGCTCTATCCAGAGGCAACATCCAGACTAGAAGGCCATGATCGCAAAAGGGATGAGCTAGGCAGAGTCGGTATTAGTGCAACCGATCCTTGAAACCTGGTTGATTGATTCAAAATACCCGTCTCACCTCGCTCGAGACCGCGCGAGATGCCATTAGACCCGACTTGTTACTACGTGACGTTTGACGTACGACGCTCGTCCACGAGAATAAGAAGCCGTGGAAAAAGCTTAGGAGCGAGTGGCGATAAGTTTTGGCCGCGAACGCCACGGGGATTGCAAGTTCCGGTGCGACCCGGCTTGTTGCCTGGCAACCCAAGCAACCAAATCTAATAGGAAACTCATTACGGCCAGGTCTTCCGTTTCACCAAACTAAATTCTTGACTCCACCCGCTTCCTCTCTCTTTCTCTCTTTCATTCTACTCTTCGATGCGACGGCAATCCCTGATCTCGTCTATCATCCTCATCCCATACTGGGTGTTTTAATATCCTCTCATTCAAGAATATAACCAAAAAAAAAAAGATAAAAACCATAGATAAAAAGATCAAACCAAATTAAAGAATTTCGCGTCTAGGTTAAAGAAGATTATTAAAATCAGATTATATAATCGAGTTATTATTATAATAAAATTATTTGCAAGATTAGATTAGATTAAATTAAATTAGATTAAACTTTATATGCGCGCTACTTAATCAAACAATTAATATAGAAGAGCGAATGTGAAAGAGCGCACGAAGGAAACTTTTCTCATCGAACCTAAAAGATGGCACGTGAGATGACAGCGGACAATAAATTCAAATTCGGGAATTTGGTAACGGGCGGGCTGAAAAACAAAAAGAGTCGTGAGGAAAAAAAAACACAACAGAGAGTAACTGGATAAAATGGCGACGCGCAGGAAATTTCACTCCGCGCGGCAACCGCAATTTTTTTTCCCCCTTCGCTGTCTCGCGCTCTCGCGTTTTTACTCCCCCTCCCCCTATTTTCCTTCGTTTCGGAAAAATGATGCGACGCTTTGTGAGCGCCGCACCGACCGGCGATATCAACCACCGTCCTCACCACTCCTTTCCCCCCCCCCCTTTCTGACGCCCCTCATTCGCGCGTGTATACCAGCGTGTACCGGAAAATTTAAATCAACGAATAGCGTTCAGCAGTTCCATTGTAACGAGAAGAATAGGAGACGCGGAAGCGCGATGCGACAGATACGCCGGAGGTTGAATATCAAATGGGACATGACCGGTGCTTTATTTCTATTCTGCTTTCACGTTCGTACCTCTTTCTGTGCGTGTAAACGCGCGGACGAAAAAGCTTTGTACGCTTTTTTTCTCCCTTCTCTCCCCCTTCCACCATTTTGACGTAAAGCACGAAGGATCGTTATTGGATCAGATCAGACATGGCAGTCCGGAGACTGGAAGGCGAGACGAGAAAACGTCTCGTAAGACGGAAAAGAGATTGTAACGTCGTATGGGAAGAGATGCAAACGTCGTATTGCATCAAAGTCTCGAAAGAATTTAATCCTGCAGGAATCCAATGTTCCAAAAATCCAAGGAAACATTTGGCGAAGATATGAACACATCGCACCGTCCACGCAATATAACGAAGATCAGATGATGTCAATAATGGAAACATCCAATTACATACGAATTTTCTTGTATAAAGAGAAATGTATTTACTTCCATTTTATTGTACAAAAAGAAAGCGAATACAATAATCACACTGCAAGAGAACTCGATCTATAAAAATTTCAGTTAAAAGAGAAAAAATAGAGAGATAAACTTTTATGAAAATAATTATAACAATAATTTAATTTTTGAATAGAAAGTTTAAAAAATTTACGAAAAGAAGCGAGTATTCCATAAAACAATTTAATCAAGTTTTTTTATTGACAAGAGAAATTTTTTATTAAAAAGATTGCACCAACAATGCAAACATTTTTCTCATAAAGATTCTGAAAATAATACAACGATTCTATATAAAATTTTCTATTAGAGAAAGCAAGCTTGCAAAATCTCAAGATACTGAGAAAAAAGACGAATATCTTCCTGCACAGAAATTTGATCAGGCGGGTATTTATTAAACAATCTACGAGAGCCGTCTGATACTATCTAATCCTGTAAGGATTTATACGAACTTATCTAATCCCGTAAGGGCTTTAGAAAGGAGAAGACTGGGCGTTTTTCCACTCAACACGGCTTTCCAAATTATCGATTTGGCAAGGCCAGCGGAAAACAGTCGGCGCAACATCGTTGACCTAGATCCTGACGACAGTAACGCCTCCCTTGTTAAGGCACCGAGTGCCCTAAAGTTAATGTGCGCCGGCAAGTATATATATTATATATATACACGGTGGCGCGGCTTGTAATAGAAATGATCCTCTTAGCTGCCTCGAAGAACAACCCTCACGTATGTCGGCGGGTAAATATGACAGATAATTTAATGGCGCGGGGCTTCGCGAGGCAAACACCGCCGGACCGAACGGCGAGTCTTACTACTGAAAATATCACGTCCGAACTTGCCAGTTGCAACAATCATCGTGCTCGCGATCTAATTCCGGTCGAATGAAAGAAAGGAAAAGGCGGAAACCATCTTCCCTTCAAAAGGGTCGACCCGACTCAATTAACGCTAATCTAATTTCCTCCTCTCTATCTATATTAAAAGAGAGAGACTGGAACTATAATTGACTACATGGATAGCTGACACTGCTGATAATTCCCAGTTTTGCGAAATGCAATTAGGAAATTGCTTGACGGATAATTATTCGCGAAAAGTTTCCTATTTTTTTTTTTCTTGTTAATCTTGACAATTCTTATATGGAAATGTCAGAAAAAAAATAGTAGAACAATTTGCCATTAACAGAACTCATCCTATAATTGAAAACAGTCACAATCGTTGATTAAAAATACTTGGTTGGCATTAGCTCCTTATCCGAAGATCGTGCCAACATAATTTCTTTCGCATTTGTTTGTTTTTGCGATAGTATTATCCCGACAAAATAAATACAGCAATAAACATGAGCAAATCTTGGACATCTGGCAGATTTACGAATCTAGATTTATTCGGCGGAAGCGGAAGGGAACGAATAAAGTCGGTCCGTTGACGAATGTGTATTTCGACGAGGGCAAAGTCGAACGATTTGTGTATCGTGACAATGCCGTGGCCGACAAGCCGGGTAAGACTGTTGCCACTGGCGCCATCCGGCCGTCATAAATATCGCCTCGACTCCGCCAATTGATAGCGATATCTCTCGTTCGGCGAAACGATACGCAAAGTAGGACGTGATACGTGTCTGAACACTAAATCATACCGCTCGCTCGCCCCAGACGGGCCAATCTCTACATCCTCTCCCCAGCCATTTAATCCCTTCACGCAGAAGGGGGTGCGACACACAGCACACATACACACGCGTCCGGTGGTCGGACAGTACAAAATCTAGCTCAAATAATTCGGACAGTCCTGCGAATGGATATCGCACAAAAATCACAACTTCCCCACTCGAGCAGAATGAATAATTACGTAAATTAAGTTTTATGCTGTCGAATAAGACGGTCGTCCCTTTCAAAGATATGTAAAAATTTTTTTCATCAGAGAAAAATAAAAAAGAATCTTGGTAATCATACATTAGTGGTAAAAACATATTTCTAACATTTGAAAAGACATTTTTACGCAATTAATAAAGAATTGATGTAATTGTGTATACATATCATTAAAGCGATTAATTAGACTCAAGTATAATAAGCATTATAATTATCCTACGTTTCGTCGTATCTAACGATTTATTTCGCCTGTCGCCCGATGGTCCGCGACAGGGAACGATCGGAATTAGCACTATCGGTAGTAATTCCGGCACGATCACGGTGATGTTATACTAGCCGTAACCGCGGCGATAATGGACCGTCGCGCGCTAACCATATAAGCGGGGCTTGTTTTGATTGCAGGCTTTCTAAACGCCAACACAGACTCGCACTTACGCTCGCCGGCGAATTACGGCCTGATGGACCAGATAGCGGCGTTACACTGGGTGCAGGAGAACATCGCTTATTTCGGCGGCGATCCGAAAAATGTCACGCTAGTGGGACACGGCACCGGAGCCGCCTGCGTTAACTTCCTGATGACCAGCCACGCGGTACCCGATGGTGAGTCACCCCTTCTTCCTCCAACTCGTAATGTGTATTATAAAATTTGTATTCAACGCGAAAACTTTTACTTCTTTCTCTTTAGATAATTATTTAAAAAAATATATATAAAGCGCAATCTACATTAAACAATTCTTATTATAATAAGAAAATTTTAATAAGCAGATTAAAAATTTTTCAATTCATTAGATAAATTATAATAATTATGTCTTTTTTCAATAAGAAAAAATTAAGACTCGAAACTTCGACCGACGTTAATCCATAAAAAAATGCGATTGGTCCAAGACATTTTACATGTCTATTATACATGAAAAATATTGCATAATTTTATTCAGGAGCCAAAATATATCTTCTTGGATGCTTCTAGAGAAGTAATCCTAGCAACTGTTTATTGTCTTGGATCAAGTCATGGAGAATTGTTCCTCTTGTCGCGTCACGACATGGAAACAGATAACGTCACGCAGAAACAACGGGGTGAAACGGGTAGGGGCGGAGAGAAGGGAGAAGGGGCACAGGTCGAAGAGCGAGAAGCCGCACGAGACAATGATACGGAGGAGCTAGGAATAATGGGCTGGTTTACCAGACGCCATAAATTACGAGGGAATCAGCTGGCCCGACCACCATTGACAACTCGCAGCTGTAGTGAATTATCATCCAGAAGGTCCCGGCGATAAGCTCTGCGGTTCCGAAACAGATTGTGACACTTTGTTTTTTGTCGCCTCGCGCTGATAAAAGCAGGACCGTGTGACTCGTCGAAGAATACGACGAAGAATAATGGCGAGCGATTTCCGACCAAAAAATTATATCGCACCTCTTCTCTTCTCGCTCGTTATCCTATTTTCGCGCAAAAACTGACCGCGGTACAGCGCGATAAATAATACAGAATAATAAGATTTAAGTTCTCTCATATATATCTATAATAAGTATGTATAATTAAATTAGAAGGATAATTTATTCTTGGAATTTTTCTTTTAATTCCCACTTTTAATTTCTATATAATCTTACATCTTAGATTCCGATTTTTTCAGATGTTAAGTTTTCAATTTCTTTGTTTTACGTTCTCTTTGCTATTCTCCTTGAATACCTTATACGCTTGAGTCTTTGAATCTTGGCTTCTTTAAATTCAGATTTTTCGATTTCTCGATTACTGGATCCTGCATCTTGAATCTCCAAGTTTCTTGGTTCTTTGTGGATCCGGTTTTTTCTTTTAGATTTCAATGTTCTCCTTGATACCTTGTTTCCTTTGATCCTGCACCTTTAATTCGTCGGACGCTTTGGCTCCTGAAATCCTGTTCCCTCGAAGGAATTAATTAATCCTCGGGTATTATGGAGGACTGCCATTAAATCCAAGTAACGCGACGGAATTTGAGCCGGCGATAATCCTTTAATAGTCCTTTAATGTCGCGAGCTTCGACACCGTCTTATCGTTCGGTGTCGTCCTCTTGACGACGACGGATATCGGAAGAACGAGGCCATCTTGATTCCGTAATGTCGGAAATACGTCGAGAACGCTGTCCCTCAGGATATTCAGAGTTTACTCCGATATCTCTATAGCTAAATGAATGAGATCCAATAGGATATCGACATGTATCGGGTCGTTAAGATCGCTCTAGAAGACACATTTTACGTTGAATATTCAGATTTAGACCGACCGACCAAATTGGGATTACGCGTGGAAGAATATCGCTTGTCGCTTCTAGTTTACTAAAGCTGTTCCGCATTACATGTTCGTATACTCAAATATTGCGAGTATTCTCTCTGCAATTTCTTAGATACCGATAGAATTTTAAAACTTGCTTGCGCGCAAAAGTTGAATAATAATTATA